ATTCGTACAGGGGTATCTCCAGGTGCACGATACACTTCGTGGGTGGCGTACGATTTCAATTTGAAAATTACAAGTGATTATTATTGGAAGTACCTACCTATAAGTGTGTACAATATGTCATCTGCTGCAAGTAACTATCTCGGACATGAAGTAAATAAATGTTGGTTGTGGCTTTCAAAAAATTGCATATAAGATTCAGATGTAAGGTAAATATGTAATGTACAATTATAAGTTACTTATTAGTTTATTGATCCTTACAAAATAAAAACCATACAAATTAAAGTTTTAATAATTTCAATGAGTATTTATATTTTAATACTATTCATCAACTGTGTAATCTAATCACAATAAAAATAACCATTCTTATCAATTTTGCATTAATAATAATTAGTGCAAAATCTTTAAAAAATCTACAGTTTTCTGAAAAATCGACCAATTATTTATTCTAGTTTTCCATTGTATTCTTAAAATCGTGAAGTATTCAAACTATTATTGTTTACTGTATTTAAGTGCATACTTCTTTATGATAAATTAATTCAGCTATGATTTTCAAAAATTAATATGTAGAGCTGTGAAAAAGGCTTTTCAAAGATTTTAAAGTTAAGCTACTCGTCGTGAGAGTTCCGCGAACTTTTAAATAAAAGCAACCTATGTCACGTGGTTTAAGATACCGACAATGCGGTTGTTACTATAACTACAAAAAAAAAAAATTAGCTGCCTTGCGTTGTGTGACAAAAGGTGTTTTTTGATGGTTTATCTTATCAACTACAAACAATCGAATAAATTTATGCGAATCATTGTGTGTTGCATACGATGTAAAATTAATTGATCGATTGCGATAGTTAAAAGAGCAATTTCANTACAATTTTTGCAATAATTTATCTATTAATTATAAAAAACTATTTCGGGGGCAACAGGCGCAATGCACGCGCTATCTTTTAAGCCTTTACTTACTTTTGTAGGACTTACTACTCAAGCAAATCATAAAATTGAAATTTGGGGCAGCCCCTAAGTCATTGTTATTTATAATTAAAAAATAAGGCAACGCGCAAAAAAGTTGAGTTCGATAATTTGTTGTATTTTTTACGCGCAATCTAATGTTGTAATTTATTTTGGTATTTATAAACTCTGGGGGCCAAATTAAACAGCTTACAAGTCCTACTCCTACGACCCCACTTCGTAAGTGAGCAAGAGAGAAAGACTCACTGCCCTTGTCTTCTCTCTTTTTTTCTACGCGAGCCTCACTGCCCCAGCTACTCATAAGCAGTCTTATCTTTATATGTCTATGGTCAAATTCCTCAAAAAAGACTAGAAAGAGTACTTATAGACTTATACTCACTATGAATACGTATATACATACCATGGTACAACAATAAAACAAGGTAGGCTCACTAGCCAGACAATTTTTGTGATTAAAGTTTCGTCCGAGTTCGCGCAGAAGCCTGCATGACGTCATAATTGGGTACCAAATTTGAATATGTATTTTGTGCTAAATATTAAATCATGTTAATAACAGCGAATTAAATGAAATATCATGATAAAAATCTGTACATAAACTGACTAGACTGAACTTACATAAAGTAAACGTCTAATACAAAGTAAAAAAATTCAGTTTACTTGTAATAATTAGTATACGTGCAACAATAAAATTGAAAAAATGTAAGCAAATTTTCTCATATCTTAACTAAACATCAGATAACGTAGTGTTTTCAATAAGTTTTGAAATTTTATGAAGAGTTAATACATTTTTCTTTCGTAACTCATAAATTATAGTTTAAACAATTTTTTGAACAGGTCAGTCGTTTTTACAAATCTGACGTTACACTTCATATTTGTATGTAACAGTGACTATTAACACTCACCTTCTCAATAAATAACAAAAACACTTTGTAGCTACCTGCTCATTTATAAATAAATATACAATTTAAATTTAGCGCTGATTATGACGTCATACAGGCTTTTTCTCTGATTAGTTTGGCCATGTAAACATGCGTATGGGCCTACCTTGTTTTATTTTTTATTGTACTATGCATATTTATACATTCTAGAGGAATCGGACCGAAGGATCGATCGACCGACTATGAAAAAAAGGGCACGTTCGATTTTCATCGTTCGTTCGTTCGTTCGGTTCGTTCGTTTCACTCGTACAGTTTGTGATGTTTAGTCGTTTCTTATGCTCTTTAGACGTGGTGTCTATTTCAAAATAAGCTTACATACTATACAAAAGACAGCAATTTAGAACCTTTGTGACAGTTAACGACTATTATTATTTCCAGAAGTGGATGACCCAATCCAATGAATACAAAATGTCTGAACTCACTTAGTAGATATAAGCGAACTGTACGAGCGAAACGAATAAAACGAACGAATGAACGACGAAAAACGATCGTGCCCAAACCGTACCTAATGTGTGTCTATAATACGCTCTGTGCACACCTTATATGAAGCTCACAGATTTGACATTGATGTGACTTTCCGAGCCGTGATTGTTTGATTAGGATTGTGTGCGTGTTGGTTCGAAATATAGCAGAGCTAATCAAGAAAATCTCTAGCATCTGCCACACTATCCCTTAAACATTGACAGAGGGCCTCCGGGTCCGTACCATACAACTTATATCGCTTCGCGGGCCTATGTTATGGTTCCGCGAAGCGGAAAAAGTTATATGGTACGGATCCCGTACTAGTCCCCTGGTCCTTTATCCAGTGGTCCCTGCTCTGAGCTTAAGCGGATCTTGTGTTTTACAGTAGCTGCCCTTTATCCTTATCGTGCATAGCTCTTTAATAATGAACAAAAATCAGTGATTGAGAACGATATCATTTATTACAAGAAAAACAATCATGTAAGTAAAACAAAAAAAAACTTTTTTCTCAGTAAATTTTTGTATGTTAAACTTGTTAAAATAATGTTATTGAAGTAATTAAACTCTACATCTGATTTCCATTAATTGCTATTAATAATATATTGTTACTGTTGGTATTGAGTCTTCTAATTTATTTGTACTAGACATAACCAGATAGCGTTTATAGCAAATTTTCTAGATAATTTTTCCAATGGTCGATTACTATTGAACTGAAATCTTCGAAAATATCGTTATGTGTGGTACTATTATTGTGACCAATTTCACCATAGCATGAGTGATGATTTTTTTCAATGACATTTTATGTGAAAGTTAGAGGATCACCTAGTTTCACATCCTTACCTTAATTGCAGGTTTGGTACTTGGCATATGGCTGCATGATTGTTGAAAATATGTTGGCAGTGAGGGGGAGAAAAATAGAGTAATAGTGATCTGTATTGTAGATTAATATTACTTTTGTAAAATTAATTTTTCTATTAATAGAATTAATGTTGTATACAGAAATAAATGGCTCTCTCATAAGCGGCACTCAGTGGTGTTCTAAACAATAACCGAATCCTGTTGACCTGATTGAAAAAGAAATCAAACTGCAAAGCTAAATCAATAAGGCTTATGATGCAGGTAACCAATATTGGTACAAGCTTGGCAGTGAAACGGTACGCTTTGCAGTGTGATGAAACGCGAAAAAAAGTGCCAAAATTCTGGCTTCAACTGAATGTTAATCCAAAAAATTTTTCATTATGATTCTACTTGTCTTTGACTCTAGTTTCAGAAACCGCTTCCCTTGCATGTCAGAGATTAGTAAGGAGATTGCTGGCTGCCATGCTACGGAGTGTGCCCACTTTTTTCCAGTGGTTCGAGCGCCCCGCCGCGGCCAAGCGGCCGAACCAGGCGCACATTTTTTTTTTATTTGAGAAGCATGGTAGGGGTATGAGAAGAGTGGATTCGCGTGGAAATGTCCATATAGGCGCACATTTTGGAGCCGCGTGGAAGGGGTATACCGAATGTGCGCCTACGAGGAGAGGAGTGGAAATGTCGGCTATATAGCTGTATATATCTGAACGCACAGCCAAAGCAAGCGACGATACGAGTTTTTCTTTTTTGAGAGTCTTTGGACTCTGCAACTGAGTACATGCTATATGTATATATTTAACTGACTTGCTCTCGCTCTGGCTTCAATGTTATCCATAAATCTTATTTAATTAAATCGTGGAACTAAATGCTCATTAATTATATACACAGAATTTTGATTTCAATACATTATGTTTTAACTCTCCCGTACTCTTAAAATTCCCAAATCCATTTATGTTTTCAAAAAATTAACCA